CCCCCCCCTCCCCGCCCCAGCCGCAGCAGGCTACGGGGCTTCAGCCTGCACACACACCACGTTTGGGAATGGGAACATCAAGTGCCAGCACCAACGGCATTTGTAAGGAAAATTCACCAAATGCAGAATAATAATAATAAAAAAATCTGTCGGTCACATCGATACTGCAAAAACAAAGCAGTGCGTGGACAACGGAACCGTGTGTTGTTACTACACCTCTATGAACTAGAGGTGTTGTCTGTCTGTAAAGAAACAGATATGAAAAATTTGTCTTTATTACTTAAAATACTTCAGACAGAGAGAGGTAGGAAGTTCTTCCCCAACCTCCACTCCAAGTTTACGCAGTCTCTCCACTTGGCAAAAAGGACCAAAACTTTTTTAGCACTGGAAAATGGATTATTAGAAAGACTGCTTCGCACATCGGCTCGTGGGTAGTGGCAGTCCTCCAAAATACTTTTAACTCGTCGTTTGGGAAGGACTGGCTTTCGCTCTGGCTAAGCTAAATTAATAAGTAACTGTTGAAAGTTTCAGCCCACATTTGTTCATTGCAAAATGCATTCAGAAATGCTAAATAAGTAACAAGTATCAATAGCCATCCCTTTTTATAAAAAACATAAAATCCCATGAAATTCCTTTTAAAAAAAAAAACCGAAACAAGCAATAGGCTATGCAAGGAGACTCCACAGGTAAGAAATCACAGGTGTTGGTATGTCCACTTGCACCAGAAATAACAAACCTTTCAGGTTTTAGCCACAATTATTAATTTTAATGGCAGTAGACAAGAAACAGTGTACATGGAGCTCTCTTGACATGCTGCTTCTTTTTTTCACACTCTGAGAGCCAAGACAAGCCCTTCATATGTTAGCAGCTATTAATTAAGGCAACAATGTTTAAGCAGTGGGTTGAGGTAATTTTAAAACCGCTTAACCCTTTTAAGAACTGACGAGGTTTAAAAAGCATGTACATATGTGCGTGTGTTCATATTAATACCTGTATGTAGAGGTATCTGCCTGAATAGATTACATATATATGGATATATATACACACACCTGTAGTGCCTATGATAGCTCACAAATTTTTTTTCAGGGAATATTTAGAAAGCAATTCAGATCCATAATTTATAGAAGTGCTGTTGTCAGTTTATAAAATTAATCATAAAACTATTTGTTGATGTTTGTTTTGTCATTAAATCAAACTTAGGGTTATTTTGAATTGCAAATTTTGTTGGAATTATTTTGCTTTCACGGTCACAACTTGATAATTCTCATGCTCCCACTGCAAAGAACCCACAGCTCAGCAGACACCCTCAACCTTCACACCGCGGCTCCAGAGCCAGTGTCTCCCATCAACACCACATTCGCGTCTTTTGCTCCTGTTTAAGCACCTAATCAGTCATAGATTGCTAAGATTCCTGACATATCTCAGTACTATTTCTGCCTCGTCTTATTTTTTCATGGTTAACAAGTGGGTTTAGAGGCAGAAATATTCGAGTACTGGCCAGAAACCATATGGTGAGTAAACAAACGATGCCACTTGTGTCAAAAATAATTTGTGTTTCGTACACAAACAAATTAGCCCACAAGACAGTCATCTACTACTTCAGCACTGAATTTTCAAGGAAATGCATAGCAATTGGAAATCTATGAACATTCACATAGAGTCAAAAACAGAACGTACAGAGCCTGGCGATGACATGCAACTGTAGCAGTCAGCAGCTAACACCAACATTCTTCAAGATGGTAACTCTGCTCACTTCCATTCCCTGGGGGCTGGGAGAAGAGTTTGGAAAACAACAACAGAAACTTTTTTAAAATAAAAAAGACTTGATGTTTCACCGAGAAAGTCAGAAGAGAAACCAAAATGTAGCCCCACTGCAGCGCCAGTCTAGCCTTCACCAGCAGCTCCTCCCCGACACAAGCAAGCACCTTCCTTCTCATGGTGCAAGTCACGATGCTGAGAAGATTCCCCTTAAAGAACCGAGTCTTATCTTAATGATTGCTTTTCACCAAATACCCAAATCTTCTGCTACTCTTACTCTCTAAGTACTACTCTGCTACTCTACTAATCACCTTGTGGCACTGCTTCAACTAGCTGTAGAAAGGCACAAAGCCAAAAAATTGGAGTTCCAACAGCAAAACGTGCTGCCCAAACCAAAATCTTCGGAAAACAGGACATGGGCCGCCCCGACGAGCTGCCACCAGCTGCAGGACGCGCA